GTATCTAATGTAATCAACAGCACTAAGTGGAGCTGATCTGCTCTTCTTTATTACCTTCAGAGGAGAAGCACGGGATAAACCTGAATATGACGGTCGTCAGAGTTCATTCTGTTGATAAATTCTTCCCAGTAGATGTTTTATTACATTCTGGTGTAGAATCATTTATTTATAATTACCTCCATCTGTTTCACGTGAGAGCTGATGCATGTATTTTATATCTGTGTTTGTTCTGGACCAGTACAACACAATGTTAGCTTTTTTTTTTCTTTTCTTTTTTTTCCTCCCCCTCATTGTCGGATCACTGTAGTCCAGAAATGTGTCCCCCCGCTGCTCGGCCATAGGCAGAGGAATGAAGTGAGGACGGGAGCGCATTCTTTACCCACACACTATAAACACACCTATGACTCATCCACATTTCCTTTCCCCCCTTACATGGCAGGGAATGTAAACCTTTTAAGCAATACTTAACTGAGCATCCGTGACTCTGAGGGTCTGCGGTGCACTATCAGAGCCATGGATCAGAGGAGTTTCGCCCTGACGGCACTGTCGGTGATCTTCCTAAAAATAGAACCGCAAGAAGACGTCTTTTTCTCCAAACAGAGACGGGGGCCGTTACGCAGCAGAGTACGAGCTGCATCAGCCCGTGTCATTTAATGTATGTGGTTTTGAAGAAGAGCAAAGCTCGTTTGCTGTATTTATTGGAAGCCTCCTTCTCACACACACACACACACACACACACACACACCCTACTCCCATTAATGCATGTGCACTTAGCCCTGCATACCGAACCTCCTTCACAAAAACAGTCACTTTAGACAATAGTGGAGTCTAAGACATTATAATCTCACACCACTGTGCTGGGATTATAAGAAAAAAATGTTCCGTGACTAAATATGAATGTGTTTTTTATTTTGGTTTTGGTTGAGAAAACAAAAACCTGTAGGTGAACCCATTTAGTCGGAGTAAAAAGTTTAAAAAAAAAAAAATGAAGAAAATGACAGGTCGTACTTTCTTTTTGAGTCACACACACTTCCTCTTTCTTATCAGCAGAGTCCATTGAGTCGTGGAGCAGCTGCCAAGGCAACACAGCCGAACCAAAAGGCCAGAAAAAGCCTGCCGTGCCTCACAGTCTCCATGACTCAGAATAGAGCTCAATAGGAGGAAGCACTCGAGGTGTGCTGGTGCTTTCACTGCACAAAAAAAAAAAAAAGCAAACGTTAGTTTATCAGCTGGGCAGTCCTTTACCGTCACAGAGCATTTAGCTTTTCTGCAAGTAATGGTTTGTGTGAACATAAACTGAAGTGCAAGAATTAGCTCTTCTTAATGTTTTGTTTTAAGTGAAAATAGCATGTCAAGTGCCACGGGAACACTAATGGATCAGTGTCAATGACTCACGGCTCTGCTTTCGGGAGATTTTTAGTGCTGCTTTGTTTTGTGCGACCGATGTGAGAAAGACCAAGGTAAATGTTTATGTGAGTGAGTGGGCTCCACTGGTTCCTGTGTATACATGAGTTTTGATATCATGGACTGCTTTTATAGACAGAAACCCGTTGTCATGTCAACTTTGCTGTAAAACAAAATCAAACGCGTTCCTTCGGACAAAAATACTGAATACTTTCCTACTGCATTCCTGGATTTGTTTTAACTAGTCCAAAAAATCCGGTAAAAGTTATTTTTAAACCAACACATGTATGTAAACTCTCTGGAGAAGTGCAGCTGTTTCTGTTATTATGACAAATGAAGACAATAGGCAAATAATTGTTGTTAATTGTCCGTCATTTAGATTTCAGAACTTGGTTCTTTCGCTTCATTTTCTCGTCTTCAAACAAGTAGCTTCATCTTTTTTCTTCATTTCGCTGAAGAAAAAACAGAATAAAAAGGGAGAAATTAAGGCTGAAGAATCTTGGAAATAATCCACATCTGATTGGCTGCATGAGTGATGTCACTGTTGACGTTGTGTCGGAAAGGTCAACCAGTGTTGTGTTTTTTTAACACTTGTGAATGTTGTGATCCACATGGTTTTCTTGTGATGTAATTGCTCTCTTTGGTTCAGTTAGTCCGGTCCAGAGCCACCGCAGCAGGTTTGATTTTGACTGATCCAAACGTGTCTGAACAGGTGTGAACACACTTTTGTCACATCCTTGAAGGGAAATGAATCACCTGCCGTTCTGACGCAACTGCATTCTACAATGATCAGTTTAGATATCACTAGATTAATGTAAGACCTAATCCTTTATAAGAACACAATTTGAAAACAAAAAACGTTAACACATAAAACTGTGTGTTACGTTTGTCTGAAGCTTTTTGAGATTCAACACTTAAGTCTCACAGCCCTGTCTTGGAGGGAACGCAGCGTAGAGGAGTGAGAGAAGATGCTGAGGTTTCTAGGAAACAAGCTCTAAATAGCAACAGCAGAGTCCAGCCTTCCACAGCATTACTGAAGATTAGCACGAGTTGAGTGGCTATTGTTCGCATCAGCTAATGCCTCCAATCAGATGGAAGATAGGATCGGAGTCTTTAATGTTGTGTCTGACAGACCTGTCTGGTCCTGTCACACACACACGCACACACGCATGTCACTGGAGTTTATATATTTGCATAAATGACTGTGAGGTAATGCCACAAATGAATGAGGAAATACAGAATGTTCCAAGGTATTCATTTGGTCATGGCCCCCTCCTCATGGAAGCAGCCAGTGTTTAAAGCAGGCGTGTCAAACTCATATTGGTTCAGGTCTCACATATGGCCCAATTCGTTGTCAAGTGGGCCGGACCAGTACAATCATTCCATAATTACCTATAAATAATAATAAGCCCATATTTTTCTCCCTTTTTCATGCAAAGAAGTGTTTTAGAAAATCATCATATTTGAGAATATATTATTTTACAAAACTTTTTTTTTTTCATGTTTTAAAAGTCACAAACCTTCGCGACCCAAGTCAATAGACATTATTCATAAACTCCTGGGAAATGTGATGTGAGACAACCCCAAAATAAAACTCTCACAACCCACTTGAGACGACCCCAAAAAAAATCTCTCGCAACCCACTTTTGGGAAACAATGCCTTAGCGGACCAGTTTTGGTCCACGCACCGAATGTTTGACACCCCGAGCTGCACCATCGCAAACATGGCCAAATGTTCTCATGCACATCCTTAGTGGAATTTGTCTGGAACAAATTCTTGACGTGGAACGTTAGTATTTTTTCCTCCTGGCTTTTTTTTTAAGTGTTTTTATATGATAAAGTTCATTACTGTCCGTCTTTGGGAACTAAGTTACATAATGGGAACATTTTTCTCCTGCCAGACTGTTTTCCTGAAAGACGTTTTGTGTCTATTCCTGGCCTAATAAAATAACATAGCATGAAGGATGTGGTTGCATCAGAGATGATGACTGATGGGTAATCCTCCAGGCTTCCCGCTCAAAAAAAACAAAAACAGTTTTTGGCTGAGTCTATTCCAGTGTTGGCCTTTCTGTCCAAGGGTTACAGAGTACAGACGCAGTACTTCCCTGTGAAAAATGAGAAGAGAATAAACTGTGCCGGTCTGTCACGTCAGCTGCAGAACAGAGAAAAATTCAAACTCTGGTCTGACCTTTGCCCTGCTGAGGCAGAAAGACTTTTCCAGCATGTTAGTTTAGGAACATGGTTAGGCTTGTAACTTGTGATCTGAGGTTTTCAAAAAATCAACACAATTTGAAAAGAAAATATTTTAAAACGTGGAGTTCTTCTAATCTTCTGCCTTGTTAATAAGTCCGAGTCTGTGGTAAAGAAGACCAGCCTGATTCAGGTCTGTGGTGTCAGTGGTTTAAAGGTGTGCCACATATTTCCTTGGCTCATTTGACGCTCCCTTTATGATCACGGTTTAACCATCTCCTGATTGGTACTTCTGACAGGATGTCACCACGATCAGATTATTTTAATTGTACGTTCTCAGCATCTCCTTGAATTTATGCCATTAGTGGTTCTATCCTGTAGCGTCTAGCACATCTGCCTCACACACAGAAGGTCCTGGGTTCAAGCCTCGGACAAATTATACTTAATGGCGCCTCCTGTGGCAGCCTGTGTGTGTGTGTGTGTGTGTTGTAAAGACGCACACTGTGAAGTTCCCCACTTAGTGGCCACTTCATTATTTTATTTAAAATAAAATAAAATAAAAAATATATGATAAAAGATAACAACAACAAGAAGGTGAAAGACGTGGTTGGTTTGGTGGAATTTTTTTTTTTTTTCTTATCGTGATGTAAAGGAAGTTGATGACCTTTCATCAGACGTAATGCCTCTTCACTCGCTGCTGGGTTTTTTTTCTCTGATGTTGTTTTGTGAGTCTGCACTCTGTGGCTGCTGTGAGGGCAGTGAGAGTCTGTGGGGCCCTCGTGTTCAGTCAGCACTGGAGTTAATGCAGGCAAATGAAATTCTCCTGACCTCAGCACCAGTCGGTGCAGTGGGCCTCAGCACCAGTCGGTGCTGAGGCCCACTGCACCGACTGGTGCTGAGGTCCGCAGCCCACGGAGCAGAGCAGCATGCTACCATTGTGTTTTTGTCAAAAGCAATTTGCCCGCTCTCGGCCCGGCTCCCCGGCTGATTTCCTGTGGCGATATCTTTAACCAGCCCCCTTATCACCGCCATGTTTTGTCCTACTGGGTTGGGGGGCTGAAGGCGGCACATTACCTCCTGATCCCTGATGTGGTGAAATATGACGGAGCTGCAGGATGTTTGTCATTTTCTGTCTTATCGCAACGGCCGCTGGAGAAACAGGCTGCGTTCAGTGTTGTTCTCAAACATACGTGATGTAGAGACAGAGGTTGAAGTGTGTGTGTGTTGGTGTGTGTGTGCGTGTGTGCTGTCAGGCTCATAATAACACCTGTCCGTGTGTGTGTGTGTGTGCGTGCGTGCTGTCAGGTTCATAATAACACCTGTCAGATTGTGTGACTCCAGTGTCTTAGATTGTTTGTTTTTTTTCTTGTCTTCTTGACCTGATTAGATGTCTTCCTGTATTTCAACATTTTTCATTTAACGTTGTGCGTGTGTGCGTGTGTTTGTGTGTGTGTTAATAGGCGCATCAAGAGCAGTTGTTTGTGTTTGAGAATTAAAATGGGGACGAGGGATTCACTGTAAATAACAATGTCTTTATTCTCTGAAACTGTAAATAACTTCGAATATATACAGTATACACACACAGTATATGTACACATATATACACACATATGTACACATATATCTATATATACACATATATACATGTGTGTTTATATATGTATGTATTATATATATATGAATGAATATATGAAATATATGTATATATGAATATGTCTGTGCACACGTGTGTATATTGTGTTCTGCATACCAAACGGTCCTCCAGATTTTTTTTTTTTGCTCAGGCAACATTGGTATGTAAGCTATGGAACATCATTAGGGGGTAAATACTATGTGCTGCTTCTTTAAGGACCAAAAAAAAAAAAATTCCTGCATGTTAGTACAAGCTGTCACACGGTACATTAAAATGAAGTCAATGCTTTGGGCCCACAGCGATGACTTATTTATAACAGCAGTAGCGTTTAAACTACTGTGATTAAATCCAGCAGGTGCTGTGTCTTAGTAGAAAAGTATTCATTAAAAATGTCACCACATCCTGTCACCAAAAGGTGGGGGGGGGGGGGGGGGGGGGAGTCATTTGTTGTGTCATTGTTTCTTATAATCAAGTCACACATATTTGACCATGGTGCGGCTCTGGGTTCGAGCCCCAGAAGAACCACATACAAAATGGCGCCTCCTGTGGCAGCCTGTGTGGGTTGCAAAGACTCACTTTGAATTTTGTAGGTGCGTGAGAAGATATCCATGCACTGTAATATTTAACTCCATGATACTGTATTGATAATCAGCAGCACTGTATTGGGTTTTTTTATTAACATTTAACATGCAAATATTCATGGCATATAATAAAAAAAGTGGTTCCATAGTGCAGTGGTTAGAACACCTGCCTTGGAAGCAGAGAGCAGGTAGTCCTGGGTTTGATTCCCAGAGGAAGCACATACTTTCCCAACAAATATGGAATCTACAAAGTTCAAATTGTTATTATTAAATTGTTGTTTTTTTTAAATATCACATCACTGCCACTGCATTGTATTTTTAGACTCCTGCGAATACACACTCTTACAATTTTCTTATTGTGGGATGAATAAGAGACTTAATTATTTATTGTATTATTATTGTTGTTTTAAAATGTTGTCTCTGTCACTAAACTAATCAATTCCTTGTCTTTTCCTCCTTTTATTTTAATTAGATAAGAGGATTTGCTCTCCTCCATTCATGGTCCTGAACACTGAGTGCAGCCCAGAGGTGCTGGAGCAGATCAGGAGAAAAGGACTCACATTCCCCTTCAGTGAGTATCGCTCTACCAATCAACCAATAACAAGGACACAGATTCCTTTCTGTCATATCAGCTGTGTCCACTGGGGGAGTCTCAGCCCACCTCCCACTATAAGTCTGGCTAAAAAAAAAAGAGGTGGATATAAACCATAAATTCAAGAAATTCTGTGTAGAGTAGTTCAGTTGAGTGTTGTCTTTAGAAACATCCCTGAGCGTTTATTTATCTCTGCAGCTCAGTGTCTTTTCCTTTTATCCTTATTGACCGTACTGACTGTCACGCAGCTCAGCAGGCGGAAACCAAACACACAGGGAGTCACTGTAGAAGTACTCAGTGTCGTGTTTGACCAAGTACTGATTGATTCTTAGACAAAAGCCCAGTGTGTAAAAACATTTAGACCAGGAGTGTCAAACGTACGGCCCGCAGGCCAAAACCTGCCCGCTAGGGGGTTCATTCCGGCCCGCTTGATGAGTGAAATAAATGCGCAAACGTGTCACATTCGTGATGTTTTGTCAAAAGATATTTCATTAACACGTACTTCTTGTTATTTTGTAGGTAATTATGTTATGATTGTACTCTTTATGATTTGTTCCTCAGTCACGTCATTACTCATTTACAGTACTTTTCTCTTTATTTTTTTTCCTCTCCTTCAGTTTGCAAAACACGGGTGGCTCATGGTACCAACTCCCACGAGGTAAGAGGCCACAGGTCTTTGACGGATGACTCTGTGTAAGCAGTAACACTATGGTCCTGTCACGGGATTGTCATTTCAGTCCAGTCCAAACAATAAAACCAGATAAAGAACGGCTGCTGAGCCTCATGTTTCTCCGTGTGTCAGCTGAAATCAATACCATTGTCAGCCTTTGCCAAATAGTCTCCACTCCTCCAGACTCACTGTTGACTTTAAACTGGCCGTTTGTTTTAAAGTGACTCCAGACTCACTGTTGACTTTAAACTGGTCGTTTGTTTTAAAGTGTCTTTTATCTCATGTCCGTCTCCTCCTGTCCACAGATGTCCATCATTTTTAGTGAAGAGGACCTGAAGGGTGTGAAGCCTCCGTGCGTCATCCAGAGCTTCATCAACCACAATGCAGTGCTGTACAAGGTGTTTGTGGTGGGGGACTCCTACACCGTGGTGGAGAGGCCTTCCCTGAGGAACTTCCCTGCTGGACCAGCAGGTAAGAATTCACGGGACACAGGGAGAGACATGAACCGGGAAGGAGACAGTCTGTGGAAGCACTGGCTCACAGCCACACAGGACTGGACTGTTGCACAACGTCTCCAAATAACCCAATAAAAGCTCTAATAAAATGTCTTTATTGCCCCGGCGATGGGACCTGTTCACCCTTGTATGGGGTGCAGCAGAGTGGAACTGCTGTTTGCCTTGTTAATAAACTTGTCACAGGCGTTCTTACCAGTGATGTCACTGTGAGCGGCGGTTTGTCCGCTGACATAGTTTGTCTACATATTTACATGTGGTGAAGTAGAGGGTTTCATACAAAGCAGTTTTTCCACTTTGTGAAGACGTCCATGGCACAGAGACAACAGAGACAACAGAGACAACAGAGGCTGTACTGCCACAGCATCGTCCTGTATCAGGAGGATCTAAAATGTCTGCGGTGAATGAAACGTGACACATGTGACACATGTTTAGCACATGCCTTGTTGTGTGAGGTCATCAGTTAATGTCAGAGGGGAAATAATAGACTAAGTTGTGCTACACGTCCAACTGGTTGCCCAACCATGTCAATTCCATAGTGTAGCAGTTAGCACGCCTGTCTCAGAAGCAGAGAGCAGACAGTCCTAGGTTCAATTATCAGAGGAACCCCACACTTGGCGTCCTGCTGAGGGTGACCTTTTGCAACAGAGCTGCAGTTATTACAAGAATTTCCCAAATATGTGCTCAATAAAGTTCAAATTATTATTATTAACCATTTCCCAAATATGTGCTCAATAAAGTTAAAATTATTATTATTAACATCGGTGCAAACTATGACTATTAGCCTCTGGTTTTTGGCTGTTAATGTGCTCAGCATATCATTACAAATGCTGTGCAACATGAAGTGTTTGTAGAAGAGGCAGAGCCACACTTCTAATGCTGTATCTCTAACATGGCTGACAGGTTGTAACGAGAGAAGACCCAGAGATAAACAAACACTGTAAAACAAGACAATATAAAACCCTGTTCTCTGACAGAGAACATGCCTCTCAGGGAACTGATCCATGCTCCATTACACTTGTAATAATATTGTGAGCACTGTAGCAGCGTCGGCACAGGTTGGTTGATCTTCTGACATTTTTAAGTGTCGGAGTCTGACCTCGTAGTTAGGTGGTGTCCCATGACCTCGTCGCCTCGTGACAACAGAGCTGTGTTTGCACACATACGTAGGACGAGTAGGACAAGTTGGTCTACAGTGAAGTAAATGTTTGCGTTCTCCTATAAAGTGGCCTCTGACTTCAGCTGTATGTGTGGATGTACCTTTACTTTAACCTGTCAGCCATATTAGTGATCTTAATGACTGTTTACACTTCCACAGTTGACCCCGAGGCCTCACTTAACAGGGTGGAGCTGAAGTAGCTTCATTCTTTCTCACCTAGAGTTTATACCTGCTGATCTCCCCACCACCAGTTAGAACTGAAGAAGCCTCTTGGATGAGAGGTGAAACGTCACGTCCAGTTGCCTAACAGAACTTTTTAAACGTACCTTTACTTTTCTCCAAGTTTTATTACCAACACTGTCTAAGTCAACAATGTCCATCGTTCAAAAACCCAGATATTGTAGAAATAATATTTTTGTTCTTAAATGACCAACTATAGAACTTTGATAAATAAATAATTTATAATAATTTAAAACATCAACGGCAAAATTTAATTTATACTCATAGTTAGTTAAGGGCTAGATTTGAGGGGTCGACGGGCCAGAAGTGGCCCCCAGGCCAGGAATTTGACACCCCTGGTCTATACTGTTTTTTTTTTTAGTATGGACAGAATTTCCTTGTTCCCTCCACTCCCTCCACTCGCTGCCTTTGCCCTCACTCATTATGAAACATTACATTGATAACAAAAAAATATGGAGGTCATAAATGAACCTGTCACATTTGTCACTGCTTCGAGGAAAAACTCCTTTTCTTCAGGCCAACAACGGCTCCACTGTTTGTTTCCACACAGTGTCACTGATGACTCATTACAAAGTCTTAGTACAAAAGTACTTTGTATAGTACTGTATAGTATAGTGTAGTATTTTCTGCTCTTTGGAACTTCAGTTTCAACACCTTCAATCTGACATTTCCCATGTTTGTGAGAATACTTAAGTCTGAAATGTAAAGTTCATCACTATATTTGTACATGTTTTTTATTTTTCTAGTATTTTTCAAAAGTTCAAATCGTATTATTTACTTCTATCGTGAAACAGATAAACAGGCATTACAGAATAAATAAGTCGTGCCACTTTTTCTCCCAGTCCAAAGATAAATATGAGGAAATATGTTTATACTTTCTGACTGTAAATAATTCAAGTCCATGAAACCTCGGTCCATTAATAAATCAGCCTACAGGAGCCTGAGGATTTATGTGCTGGGTCACATTGGACTTATGATGGATTTGTCGCGTCTAAATTTGACAGCCTTGAGCTTTGCTGCCACCTAGTGCAAAAGATGAAAAGCATACATGGTGAGGTTGCCTTACAAGTGTGCTGTTTTTCTGTGTTCAGACAGGAAAGCCATTTTCTTCAACAGCCACAACGTTTCCAAACCAGAGTCGTCCTCTGACCTGAACTCTGTAAGTCCATGACATCACTGCCTGAAATGTCACACGACCCTGTGGTGCATGTGTCTCAGTTCCTCATTGTAGCTATTTCTCTGTTGTCACAGAGAGAGAACTTGGAGGGAGTGTCCCAACCTCCCAGTGATGATGTCATCAGGGAGCTGTCCAGGTCCTTGCGGGAGGCACTGGGCGTGTCCTTGTTTGGCATCGACGTTATCATCAACAACCAGACTGGACAACACGCCGTCATTGACATCAATGCATTCCCTGGTAGGTGTCAATGTGTCAGTGTCATCTGTGCATTAGCTCCGAGCAGAAACCTGTGTAGTGACCTGGTTCTCAGGTGTCACTCTGTCTGTGGAGACAAAGTCACTCCACTTTCTTTTATGCAGCCTAGTATAATCAGAGAAATGTCTGTGTTCTGTAGGTCTGACCCGTTTCCTCAGGTCTCAGGCAGTGGTTGACAGTTAGACTAATATTACATATTACAGAGTGAAGTTGAGTTATATATATATATATATATATATATAGTATATGTGTATATATGTGTGTATATATGAATATATGTAAATATAAAAAATGTGTGTATATACCGTATATACATACATAGTATATGTGTATATAGGTATATATAAATACTTTTTAATTACAAGTGAAATCGGTTGGCCTTCACTGCAGTCCCTTGTAAAAACAAAGAATATTAAAATTAATGCTTAAGAATAATTGAAGTACTACTGAATAATTTAAAACGATCATAAAAGTTTACTGTCATATACTAAAGTTGAGTCTAATGAAAGGGAACAGTCCTGAGTCTTTCATCAAGCTGCGTTCCTGTGGCCTCAAGTGGTCAGCTGAGGTACTGCAGTGAATTGTAATTGTTCGGTTCCTTTACCATCTTTTTTTTTTTCAGGCCTTTCACACATTTTGTCCCACAAATTTAAATTTCATAAATAACTAAGTAAATACACATGATTATTGTGGTCTGAATTAAAATATTAACATACGCTACATATAACGTAATGAACTATTTTTCCAAATACCCATCATTCCCAGGTTACGAGGGCGTTCCAGAGTTCTTCAATGACCTCTTGAACCACATTAGCAGTGTGCTCCAGAGCCAAAACCCTGACTTCACCCCCGCCGGTGATCAGCCTAAAGTTCTGCCAGTGAACGCCACCGTACCCAACACCGTCATCCCTGCACCCCCCGGCTGCTGCAGCATGCTGGGTAAAGATGCCAGCGGCAGCCCCTGGATCGTGGAGGGCGACGCCGGCCTGAAGGGCCCACGTCAGAGACTGGGCTGCAACTCGGCCATGTCCCCCAACTTCCAGCAGCACTGTGTGTCCACGATAGCCACCAAGGCGTCCTCACAGCGACTGCCCCCTCCCCCCCCCCCCCCCCCCCCCCCCCCCCCCCCCTCGCGACCTCC